TCTTTTGTTTGAAAGCGTAAACTCTGATTTTACTTGTGCTTTTGAGTTTAGCATTACAAAAAAAAAAAAAAAAAATCGCCACAGTATTTTATTTTTAGGCTTAATTATTTTAATTCTTTGACTTGTAAATTTGCCTCTGAAACAAAATGTCCTCTGAAATGAACAATTGTAACTGATTTCCTTTTGTGTCAAATCTCACTATTCAAGAAAGGAAACACTTTGAAATTCTTATGGTGTACGAAGCTGTACTTACTGTTTGATTAATGTAATTGGTAATGAATCGTAACTACTAACTTATTAGGGAAAACTATGAATTGTGAATAAGAAAGGGCTAAATTTTCTTAGTGTTGTGTATAAAGAACTTAATTTAGATCTTTAACCCAAAATATGTTGGGGTAAATTAGCAGTCAGCTTATTCTTTTGGCTGCAGTCAGCTTATTCTTTTGGCTGAGCTTTTCCAAACTATTATAAAGTCAGGAGGACAGTGGATGCAGAAGTTATTCAAAGTAACAATCAGAAATGTGTAATTCTTACAGAAAATAAGTAACAACAGGAGCATGAGTAATAACGACCAAAAGATGACTTAATCCTTTAGGTTTGGGTGTTCGTTTTTATTTCAGTGGCTAGATAGACAGGTAAGCTTGTGGAATTTTAGACGTACAGATGATATTTTAGGAAAGCTTATTATACGCCTGATAAATTGTAATCATTGGTATCAAGAGTTTTAAAGACATAGACAGTCCAATTAAAATCAGATTACTTCCTAAAGTACAATTTTAAAAATGTTTCTTTGGAATTAGGAGCATGTTATGAAGCAATGTAATAATGTTAAGTCCTTAGCCAAGTTTCAAAGCCTGTTTAAACCATGCATCGGAAACAGAGGACAGGATCACCCCAAGTCCGACGTCCCTGAGTCGGGCCTTCCTGCCGCGCACGCAGTCAGATACATTGCAGGAGCCTGAGAAAAGGCAGATAACCATCTAGTGGAATCTGCTCTAAGACCAGCTGTGTTTTCCAAAGGAGTGTATGGTTTTCAACGGCGTCATTGTTCAAGGAGCTGATGAAAATGAACCGAATCAGTTCGATATTGTCAAATGCTTGCGGTAGCCGGTTCAGTCAGAAGTGCCTGGTCAGCTTTCTTCCCACCACTTTCCTTACTTTTCAAAAGCCCCGCCCACTGAGGCAGCTCAGGCCCCGTCCACTGAGTGCTTTATGCTAACCGGCCACACAGTGACCCTCTTTCTGGTGTAGGACTGTGGAGTCGCCATCACAGTGCTCCAGCAGCTTAGTGCTGCTTGAGCAGCCGCATCCTGTCACCTCCTCATCGTCACCTGGCGTGCGGGAGATGAGGCAGGAGATGCCTCTGAAGGCTCCTGAACTCAGTGACTTCCGTGGGAGAGGACGCGGTGGCTGTACCCACTGCAGTGCAGGCTAACTCCTTGAAGCGCCTGAGCAGTGCCCGCAAAGAAAAGACAGATGCAAAGGGCTTTTTAGTGTTTGAACTCTCTAAGATCAACATGTCTTTGTCTTTGATGGTTTATTTGAATACTACATCTTGATTTATCATGGCACTTTAGAATTGCTTCACCAATAAAGAAAACTCAGACATTTGGCACGGGAGATGTTCTACAAAGCTCAAGAATACCTAAAATTATCAGTCATCACTAATGTTTAACATGTAATTGGCAGTGATTTATAAACACTCATGACATTACCACAAGGATGCATCTTTACTAGTGATGATATATGTTCATATTACTCTGTTAAAGAACTTATTGATTATCTAATGTGCAGGATTGTAAAACTGTATCATGGACTATAGAGAAAAGAGAATACTCTTAACATTCATAGATCCGACGGGACAGATAAAGACAGAATGGAAGTAGGCATGGTCTAACTCAGACATTGGCAAATTTTCTCTGTAAAGAGCCAGAGAGTAAATAGTTTAGACTCTGCAGGCCTTCGGGTCTCTGTTCTAGCTTCCTTTGGCTGCAGTAACAAATGACCACAGACTTGGTGGCTTAAAGCAACAGAAATTTATTCTTTCAGTTCTGAAGGCAAGAAGTATGAAACCCAGGTGTGGGCAGGACCACACTCTCTCTGAAGTTCTCAGGAAGAATCTATTCCATGACCCTCTCCCAGCTTCTGATGGTTGCCAGCAACCCTCGGCATTCCTTGGCTTGTAGCGACATCTCTCCAATCTCTCTTTGTCTGTATGTCTCTGTATCCAAATCTCCCTCTTCTGTCTCTTATAATTATACCAGTCATTGGATTTAGGGCTTACCCTGATCCTGTATGACCTCAGTTTAACTTGCTTATAACTTTGAAGACCGTATTTGCAGATTAAGTCACATTCACAGGGACTAGGGATTAAGACTTCAACCTATCTTTTTGGGAGACACAACTCAATTTACTACAGTCTCTGTTAAAACCACTCAATTCTTTCTTTTTAGCACAGACACAGCCAATGACAACACATAAAGCAATGCACGTGCTGTGCCCCAGTAAAACTGTATTTATAGAAACAGGTGATGGGATAGATTTGGCTGGCAGACTAGAATTGACCAGTCAGTGCTTGGTCTACGAATTGAAGCAAAGCTACAGCAGAAGAAAAACAAAAATCAATGCTCCCATGCTTTAATCAGTCCATTTTTAAAGGATAGAAATGCATACATAACTGTATATATAGAAATACCTATTTTAAAATAGATGTCAACTTGGGGCAAAAAATTGAGCTTTTATAATGATCTAAAATCCCAAAGCTCTGTTCCTAAAAATGCTTGAATTATAAAATTTTCCTGGTCAATTAAGAGCTTGTTTATGATCATTTAGTTTTGAGGGTCTACATGGACTTTCAACCAGTGAGACGAAGACTACTTTGAAAACAAGATTTGCGTTGAGCTCATACTTACTCTACTAGAAAGAAGGTACCTGTTAACCCACGAGGGCAGGAACATTGTTTTATCCAGTGCGTGTCCTCAGCACACAGAAGAAACCCTAATACATAATAGACATTCAATAAACATCTGTCTAAAGTAACTTGTTTGCCAAAATAAAAAGTGAATTGGTGTGTTGCTCTTTCAATCCTATTGTATAAAAACAGAGTCTGTCACCATACCTTACAATTATTTATTGTCCTGAACTGAAAGGAAAACTAGAGTGAGAGAAATCCAATTTCCGTTAAGAGCTATTAGAAGAATTTGTGGAGACAACAATGGGGGTAATAAATGGGAAGGGGTTGGTGAGTAATATTTGTTTATTAAAAATCAGATTTGTGGAAAAAAAAAATCAGATTTGTGGAATAGAAGGGAAAGGTAGGGAAGTCAACATACATTTCACCAAGCGAGCTAAGAGATTGTCGACTGCTCCTACCAGCCCTGCTGAATTCGGTCGCAGAGCAATGGGGACCCCCTGCGAGGTAACCGGTGCCTGGCAACATGGGTAGGAAAGGGTGTAGCTGGGTCGAAGAGAGAGCAGGAGGGGGGAGCAGCCCCCAAATTTCCAACCAGAATCTCAGGAAGGCTGTGATCATCCCAGCCCCGAGTTCGGCCATTCTCATAGTTGGGTGGAAGGCAGGAGCTGGAACATGACAGGCGTAGGACGTGTAGTGTTGCTCAGAAGGAATCAAGGCCCGTGGCAGAGAAGAGGTTGAACCGCTATGTGGCTCCCGGCTGGAAGCACGTTGAAGTCCCTGTGATGTGAGTGAGGACAGCCGAGGACAAGGGGGAGCCAGGGGGGACTCTGGGGGGGAGAAAGATCTGGATAGAAGCCACAGCTCTGAGGATGGGGGACCAAAGAGAAGACCTGAGCCCGCCTGCGATTGTTTGTTTCAAGTTGATTATGAATCACTCACAGGGAAAGTGAGCTCAGGAGAGGAGTGGGGAGGGGGACGCGAGGCTGTCGCCAAGGCCTTCAGGGACCTTCCGGGGAACAGACAAGACAAAAGGAGAGACCGGAGGCAAAGAAGGGCCGTTTAAAATGCCACCAGCTCTGGGACCCCTGCCTTAGGCAGCGGAGCCGGCTCCCGCGCCTCCCCCGTCAGTTCAGCAAATTCAGGAGAAAGAGTCGCTAAGCAGAGAAACCCAGTTCACCTCACTCCTAAGGTCTTGGTGCCGCAGGGCAAGAAACTGCCCCACCAAACTAGCCACTTGAACTGCCTTAAATATCGAGATAACGCTGATTAAATTCATTTCTTAGAGAAGAAAATGCATTTTAAAGAGAAGATTAGGAGAGGAGAGTCAGCTTTTCCCACAATTCAAGACATTCTGGTCCTTGAAATATTGAAAATTGTGTCCTTGAAGGAAAAGTCTATAAAAAATAATGAAATGTTCAGTGCATTCAACGAAGTTTCTGCTCTCCGAGGCGCCCAGTGTGTTCCTGCTCTTTTTTTAAGGACTTGCAAAAGAAATGAAAATAGCCTGTGTTTTTGTAAGAGAAAGAAAGGGAATGTATTTAGGAAAGAAGAAAGTGCTGCGAGAGAAAACACGTCCACTGTGGAGAATGGAGCCAACATGCCGAGGCCAATTTTAAGCTGGCTTCTGGCGTCCAAGTTGTGCTTGAGCTTAAGTTTGTTTGTTTTCTGTATTAATGTGAGAAATCAGATGCAGTAGCTTAAACAAGCACCCATAACTCTCATTAACAGAAAACGTGCCTCAATTCCTATAATGTGCAGATGTCGCAAATCTTCAACTCTTGTGGAAAGCGAGGTGCGTTTTTAAAAAATTGGTTTTAGAGAGAGGTAGGGAGAGGGAGAATCATCCATCGGCTGCCTCCTGCGCGCCCCGTAGGGGAGCCAGCCAGGAATCCAGCGGGTGCCCCGACCTGAGCGAGCCCGCGACCTCCAGGTGCCGGGAGGATGCTCGACCTAGTGAGCCACGCGGGTCAGGGCGAGCGCGAGTTGACCCCCTGACTCTGCGCCATCCTCCGGGTGGTGAGGGAGGGGGTCTGGTTTTAGATGGGCGTTGTACTGACACGGTGCAACTCTTCCCTCCCGCAGACAGGCCCGTGAGCGGCGCCCCCTGAGCTGCGTCTGCCCCGCGGGACTGATGTGCGCCCGGGAGGAATGAAGCATGGATGTGAAGGAGCGGAGGCCCTACTGCTCCCTGACCAAGGGCAGGCGCGAGAAGGAGCGGCGGCACACCAACTCCTCGGCCGACAACGAGGAGTGCCGGGTGCCCACCCAGAAGTCCTACAGCTCCAGCGAGACCCTCAAAGCCTTCGACCACGACTCCTCCCGGCTGCTCTACGGGAACAGAGTGAAGGACTTGGTTCACCGAGAAGCAGATGAGTTCAGCAGGCAAGGTAGGTCCGTGTGCCCGGGAAGCAGGCCTTGCTCGGGGCGTTAACTTGAGACCTGGGAGCTCTCGCTTCCCCCCGCCCTCAAGGTGACGGGATTATTTTCTTGGGTTGAAGTTCTGTCTTCGGACTCAGAGTTTGAGACGTCAGATGGTCACGTACTGTTCCAGTGAGAGCTGGAGCGGCACCTGCGGGCGCAGCGAGCCCAGCCGCAGGGGCTCAGCTCCACATCCTGTGCGAGCTCTGGGACTCTGGCGTGGCCCAGGTGTCTGCGCGTGAACTTGAAACCAGGCCTCCGGGGCTGTCTTGCAGCCTCGCCAGGGTGCCCACCACCATGGTTGATGTAGTTAGACCTGGTGCAGGGAGAGCAGGAGCCGTGGGGGAGGAACCTGCTCTTTCCCTCATAAGAAAGGAAGACTTTTCATTCCGATCGTCTTGGGATCCATGCTGCCCAGCCGCTGGTACTTGTGTTTACCCAAGAGCCTGCTGGGGAGGGTTCCACCTTCTCTCTCCTGCGCAATCTGGGGCGTTAAGCTAAACCCCAACCCATCCTAGTTTCCCGCAGTGCAGCCCACTGCGGTCTGGTCAGCTGCATGCTTGCGTGGAACATTCTTACACTCTGTCCTCTGTCCGCACGCTCCACCCGTGACTCCTGTGGCTCCACAATCCTAAGCCTACCGATTTCCACGCGGTGAGACAGCAGCTAATTTTAAATTAGGCATACGGAGTTATATTTTGTTTCTTCTAATACAGCCTTGAGCTGTGGGCAGGGCTACTCCAGGTACTAATGAAAATAAGACCCTGTTACCCTGGTTCTGCACAGCCTTTTTGCATGGAACTTAGCACCCCTTAGCTAATGTAGTCAGGAAACGGAACTAAATAAATTAAGCCTCAAACATAAAGAATAGATTCATCTCTAACAGTCACCTCACGGACAGCGTGACTAATAATTTGATGTTGGGTGGGAACAAATTTAAGAAAAAGTAATAAATCCCTCAAAAGTTTGAACATATTCCACGGTCTCTTTCTCCTCGGCTTTGTGGAAAGAGCCATCCTACCTGGACTGAAATACCGTTTGCTCCCCCAAACCGGGTGATGTCAAAGCAGACTCCCTGGGTTTGCTAGAGCGGATTTTTCCTCCGCTAAAGCATGTCTTCATTACAGGTGTCAAATTTTATGAAAGTGGGCAAAACAGCCCAAGATTTTTAATCAGTTTTTAAGGGAAGATACAGAACCCATGTTTGGAATATGTGATCCTGTTAAATGGACTTTAGTTCATTGCATAATGCGTGAGAACTCGAAACCCGCTGTTTTTTCTTTCATATTATCTGCACGGCGGACATCAGGGCACACTTTCACCAATCCGACGGACAGCAGGGAGCTGTAGAATGGGTGCAGCCTGAACCCAGGGTAAAGTCTTGCTTTTGGTGACAGAAACAGCAGCTTCGTGCCCTGTGGGGAGGAAGCGCACTGTGGGCGGCTGTGGGAAGGAAAAGAGTGCAGGAGGCAGGAGGCGCCGGAGGCCCGTCCCCGCCCCAAGCAGGCATTGCGTTTGGCAGGGTGAGGGTGCTTAGGGCAGGAAAAGCAGCGGGTGAGCCGGTCACCTCCCAGGCGGCGCTGATCCAGGGCAGAGACGCTGGTGGGTGATGTGCTGCCATCTGTGGAAACCCTGGAACTTAGTTCCTGGGGGACCGTACTGGGGCTCGGCGCCTTGCAAGCCAAGGGCAGGAGACTGAAAGGGGGCGCGAGCGAGGCTCCTGGTGGAGGTGGAGGCCTCTTGGCAGGAGGCTGAAGGGCAGAGGTCAAAGGCAAAGCCACAGGGCACCGGACGTGTCCATAAAGCGAGTGCAGTAAGCACAGGGGACCTGCTGCTCCCTGTGGCCCACCTGCACCGGCTCCTCACTGCGCTCCCGCCAGTGGGCCGATAAACTGGCCTGTGCGCTGTCATTTATCCCTCAGTCGCCTCGGAGGAAGGTCCTGGTAGTGTCCTCCTGGCACAGGCCTCTAACCTGGGTGCAGTTGCCAAGGCAGGAAACAGGCCACTCGGTGTCACAACTGCCCGTTGGTCTATCGGAGTCCGTTTCAGCCCATTGACGGTGCGGACGGTGCGGACGGAGCGGCGAGGGGACTGGGGCGTGGTTAGGAAATGAAGTTGGTGCCACGTTGCGGCTGGGCGCGTGAGGCCGAGGGCGAGGGAGGCCTGGCCGTGCCTGTTCTTTCCTGCGCCCGGCTAGGCGGCGTGTTTGGAGCAGCAGCAGGAGCAGGAACCTCCCCTCTCGGGTTGTGCTTTCCTCTCAGCAGCGTAATGAAAAGCCCTCCTAGGCTTTCATTTACTTTGAACCTGACAAATGTCAATTTTTCCCTCACTGGCTCTTATGCTGTGGGATTAATTATTTAATTGACAAAATGTGCTTCCTGCCACAGCTCCTGACATCACACACATAATAAAAATGAAAGATTAAAAATGTTCATCGTAGCCAAAGACCTTTGAAACAGTTCCAAAGAGTCCTGCTAATTTAGCTTGTCCGTGGAGTTTTATAACGAACTACCTGTCAGTCCCAAACCCACTCATTCTTTGAGTGGCACACGAAGCTGCCGCTTAGGCCACGGGGAGGGGGGGGCAGAGACCCCCGGTAACTCAAGTACATGAATTCCAATCCAGAAATACGATTTTTATTTTTGTTGACCAGTTTTATGGCCTGTTATCAATGTTGATTTTACTCGTGTTTATGGCTCTCCTGGAGGGCGGCAGGTGATTCTGGTTGCGGCCGTGTTATCTTTAGATTCTGTGAAGTTGGGCGATTTCATCTTCACAGTAAGGGGTGATGTGCCCGCATCTCACGCAGCTCTTTCTCTTTAAATCTCTTCCTGCGGCTCCTGGGTGGTGGAGACCGTCCTCTCGGCAGCTGTGGAGCTCCGCGTAGGTGTGACGGGGTGAGGGTGACAATGGCTTGTTTTGCATTCCTGGAGACTGTTTTCTTTGATTCCTCCTTGAAGAGAATTTATCCTGTCAGGTCTGAGACACATTTCTTCTGAAACAGCTGCATAAGCTCAGCCCAGAGTTTTAGAGAAATGATAAAATAAAAGGCCTTTTTTTTTCTCCCTCTCCGCACGATCACATCGCCTATAGTGTTTCTGACCCAACGCGAACGTTTATCAGCTCCAACAAGGAATGTGGGCCGTGAGGGTGAATTTTGAAACGAGGGGATGTCTGGAAATGAGAACACTTGTGTCCCCAGGACCGTAAGCCTGAGAAAAACACCTCAGAGCCGGTCTTCACCCAACATGTTTATCGATTAGGAATCGGTGTTGGGGTTATACATTTTAGAATTTTAGAATGAAAAGACCATCATATATTATTCATTTATAGAATGGCAACTGGGAGGAAGGTTATCTGATTTTAAATTTTTGTAAATTTATCTTATTGTTGAGAGTATTGCAGATGTCCCCCATTTCCCCTCTTTGCCCCCCTCCACCCATCTCCCGTCCCCCCCAGGCCTTCACTGCACTGTTGACTGTGTCCACGGGCTATGCATATATGCAGAGAAGTTCTTCAGTTAATCTCTTCCTGCCCTCCTTCCTGCCTTATGTCTACAATTATACATACCTGAGATCAAAATAGAAAATAAATTAGCAAAGGAGGAAGGGCAAGGAGGAGGCAGATGGGCAGAGACAGGCGTTCGCTGATTTCGGAGTGGGGCTCGCCTCTGGTCTTCCTCTGGGCGTGTTCCAGAAGCTCTTCTCCTCCCTCCCGCTGCTTTGGGATTCATCTCCTCCTGCTTCTCATCATTGGGGTCCAGCTGCCCCCAACTCTTACAGACCTAATACGAAGGGAGCTATAAAATATTATTGAAAGATGTAAAAAAAAAAAAGATCTGAACAAATATAGTGTTTTTAGATAGAAAGAATGCTATAAGAATATCAGTTCTCGAAAAGTAAGTGCAGCCCAGCCAGCATGGCTCAGCAGTTGAGCGTCGACCTAGGATCCAGGTGATCGGGGTTCGATTCCCAGTCAGGGCACATGCCCGGGTTGCGGGCTCAATTCCCAGTCAGGGGCGTGCAGGAGGCAGCCGATCAATGACTCTCTCATAATTGATGGTTCTATCTCTCTCTCTCCCTCTCCCTGAAATCAATAAAGCTATATTTAAAAAAGAAAAGTAAGTGCATAGAAGTTAAGGCTAATTGAAGAAAATGATCTTAAAATTCATGTGGAGGAATAAATGTATAAAAATAGCCAAAAAATATATTTAAAAGATATATTATCTGTAAAGGACAAAACGGCCTTACTACATATATATTTTTAAATACTATGAACTCAGGGTAATCAGCTTTATATGATATTGGCATAAATAAAGACAAATCAATCAATGGAATAGCCTAAAATTTCAGAAATGGATCCCAGGATATAGGGGAATTTAGCATAAAACAAAAAATGGTTTTTCCCTGCAGGGAGATTTGATAAATGGTGCTGGCACAACTGGTTGTCCATCTGGAAGAATATAAAATTGGACCCATATCTCTCAGCATATTCAAAAATAAATTAAGATGGATTAAAGATGAACATAAAAAAATACAGCAATAAGAATTCTAGAGGTTGATTTGAGGCTGGGTAAGGCAGGAAGGACTGGGCCCGGGAGCAGCAGAAAGCTCCAAGACCGAGGGCTTCAACACCCAGCAGAATTATGTTCTCATCAAACAGCAAGTCCAGAGGTGGCTGCTGTCAAGGCCCCAGGTCCCTCCTGCGGGTTTGCTCTGCCACCCTGCGCCACCTAGTCCTGGGCATCCCCCGACGTCTGCTGCCTTTCATACTCCTGCTGGGGATGGAGCCCGGTGGAGGCGAGAGGCCTGCCCGCCGCACAGTGTCTCGCTCCCCGGCGACTTCTACATCTCTGTTTTCAGACCCGTTCTGCTTGGCTACGCTCAGCTGCAGGAGAGGAGGGAACAGTTTCTATTTTTGCTTTCCAGCTTTTATGGGAGAGGCAGGCGAGGGAGAGTGGCGGTGAACC